ACAAGAAAAACTAGATGAATCCAGAAAATTACACCCAGTTGAACCAATCAGCCCAGAAATAAACAAAGTGCATAAAAGCCCACACTCAAATTATCTCCCAGCTTCTTCCGTTCACTGCCTGTTATGAGCCACACCCATTCATATCATCCATATTTGGTATTACAGCTTTCTGCCATGTTTCAAATAACCCTTATTTCACAAGCTGCAGCCCTCCCAATGCCACTTCAAGAAGCAACCTGAGGTCTTCTTCAAGGTAAACTGCCATATTATTGTAGCATTTATGTACTTTTCGCCATTTAACATATATAAAACTATGCCACGGTTTTTATTAGGTTCCTATCTTTTTTATGCGTCACTGACAAAGTTTTTGAGTATTGTGTCCCTAACTCCATTTTTCCCACAAGCCTTGTGGTTTTCCACACAATTATCTTTGGCAATTGTATATCATGTTATAGCAGAACTGACTATATTACTATTTGGGAAAAAAATTAATCAATGACCAGTTTTATTTTTTCAAAGGTAACAGATAGAAAAGCTTCCTGAAAATCTGCTTAAGCATTAAGTCAAAGTCAGGGAAAAGTCTTTATCTGTAAGATCCCTCCTGAACGCGTGTTTTTTACCCCAAACTCCATCCACTGACTAAGCAGCTCCCACATCAGACACCAGATTTGGAAACAGAAGGTTATCATTCACCTTGAAACAGTGAACAAAAATTTGGATTTGTCAAGAAGTAAAGAGGAGACACTGAATGTACCTTCTAAATTCAGACCTTGATTCTGGCAGAAAATCTTGGCAGGTACCATTGAATAATACCACCTGTTCAATAGCTACTCAGTATCTATCATGAAAGAATATGCAGCAAAAAAATATTATTGCTGCAGTATAGTTATAACAATACAGTAGAAACCAAGAGCCTTTACAAACACTCACTCCTAATTCTTGATAAACTCAGAGGTAAAAGAGCATAGGGAAATACAGGAGGCCATGCATGTTTCTTAGTTTCCACTCAGACTAGGAATAGGAGACAGACCACATCATTTAGCATTGAAGCCAAGAGTTGGCTAAAACCTGTCACTCAGAACCAAAGGGCAAATAAAAATAATGCTGCTATTTAGCATGCTCAGGAAAGACAGAGAACATAATTATTTTGTGCCTTTTTGAATGAACCCATACTTAAAACCAGGGCTGATACCAGAAGTAACAAACATAAACGTACTACAACGTGTGCTCTCACATTTCGGCCAAATGTGAGACCAAAATTATTTGGTCACTAGTCTTGATCCTGGCACCGTTTCTTAAAGAACTACGTTATTTTTCAAAATAATTGAGATTTTTATTTATATACGTATACATATATGAATGCAAGAGAAAAAAGTGAAAGAAAAAACCATCAAAATGGTAACAGTGATTTAATATTGGGGTAATTTGATTATAGCTGATTTTTTTTATTGATAGCTTTCATTATTTTACACAAGTGTTTATTATTTTTATCATCAAAGAAAAACAAATACCTTTTTAAACAGTTAACTGAAAGAAATTAATCCCTGATCATAGTTTGTGTGGAATTCACAGTAAGCCATCAAGTGTCTCTTTCCGAAGTGTCAAAGGTGAGTGGACTGGATTTGAAGGGCACTTCCCCCACCATGCAGGAAAATCCAAAGAGAGAAAGGTGTATGAGCACAGTGACAGACACTACACACTCAGAACACATATAGGACCTGTTTGTCCCTGATTTTACCAGCCAGCATTTTGATGACTCCTATAGGTATTCTAGAAAATCTTCTCCTTTTGGGTAAAGCTAATATAGTCACTTAAATTTAATAGTATCTGGTAGTGGAGAACATGGAAATATGATCTAACCAGAGACAACCTGTGACCAAACCTTAAGAAATGTACAACAGGCCACTGTAGTTTTTTTTTAATTGAAGTATAGGTGATTTATAATATTTTATTAGTTTCAGGTGTACAGCATAGTAATTCCATTTTTTCTTTGTAGATTATGTTCCATTGTAGTTTATTACAGGTATTGGATATAATTCCCTGTGCTACACAGTAAATCCTTGTTGCTTATTTATATATAGTAGTTTGTATCTGTTAATCCCATACTCCTAATTTGTCCCTCCCCACCCCCACTTTCCTCTTTGGTAACTATACGTTTGTTTTCTATGTCTGTGAGTCTATTTCTGTTTTTGTATTCATCTGTATTATTTTTAAGGTTCTATATATAAGTGATATATAGTATTTGTCTTTGTCTGATTTACTTGACTAAGCATAATATTCTCTAGGTCCATCCATGTTGCTGCAAATGGCAATATCTGGATGTGTGTGTGCGTGTGTGTGTGTGTACCACATTTCCTTAAGCCAACTGTCTGTTGATGGGCACCTGGTTTGTTTCCATATCTTGGCTATTTGTAAATAGTGCAGCTATGAACACTGGGGTGCATGTATCTTTTCATATTAGAGTTTCCGTGTTTTCCGGATATATACCCAGGAATGGGATTGCTGGATCATATGGTAAGTCTATTTTTAATTTTTTAAGGAAGCTTTATACTGTTTTCCATAGTGGCTGCACCAATTTACATTCCCACTAACAGTGTAGGAGGATTCCCTTTTCTCCACACTCTCTCCAGCATTTATTATTTGTAGACTTCTTTTTTCGGACTGCATAGGTCTTCGTTGCTGCACGTGGTGGCTACTCTTCCTTGAGGTGCTCAGGCTTCTCACTGCAGTAGCTTCTCTTGTTGCGGAGCATGGGCGCTAGGCGTGCAGGCTTCAGTAGTTGTGGCATGCAGGCTCAGTAGTTGTGGCTAGCGGGCTTCGTTGCTCCGCGGCATGTGGGATCTTCCCGGGCCAGCGCTCGAACCCGTGTCCCCTGCATTGGCAGGCAGATTCTTAACTACTGCGCCACCAGGGAAGTCCCATTTGTAGACTTTTTGATGATGGCCATTCTGACTGGTGTGAGGTGATACCTCACTGTGGTTTTGATTTGCATTTGTCTAATAATTAGCGATGTTGAGCATCTTTCCATGTGCCTGTAAGCCACTGAAGATTTTATAGCCAGCTTTCTCTCAATATCACTATCTCAACAATGATAAATATTCATCTCTCAAGTCAGAAATCATGTATAGGCTAACTACTAGATACACAGCACTATCCTAGCCACTATGGTGAATACAAAAGAAATAAGGTGCAGTCATTCTCTCCATAGCACTCACAATCTGATAGTGAAAAATATGACATACACATCAGAAATATTTAAATAGCATAAGACAACAAAATTAAATGGCTAAATGAGTTATACAGATAAATATTTAAGGCATTTAAAGAAGGACACTGCCCACTGTGGACTTTAATAGTTGGGAAAGGCTTCAGAGAGAAAGAGTTTTGATAGTATAAGAAGGTAGACAAGGGAAGTCCAGGCACTGTCACCAAGATAAGCAAAGTCACTGGGATTGAAAAAGCAACACTGAATCTGGACAGACTGTAATAAAAATCAAATTGGGAAGCAATAAAATTAATCCATGAAATACACCATTATCAAATTAAGAACATATGTGGGAAAAACTATGTACCAGACACTATGCTATATATGACAGAGATATGATATCCAATCTCCTATTATTTCTTCCAAAAGTAGGTATGGTTATTCCCACTTCACAGACAAAAAGTGAAATTAATTAAACACAGATGTTAACTAATTTGCCCAATGTCATCAAAGTAGGCAACAGAGTTGGGACTAGAATTCAGGCCTACTTGACTCCAAAGTCCATGCTCTTTTTTTTTTTTTACTACCCTATACTATCTCTTCCCAAATTACAGCTGTGACAACAACACTCTGAATTTATTATATCCTCCCCCTATCACAGTGTATTCTCCTACCCTTCTGACTATCCAGTGTCCCCACGGTGATCCCCTGTACATCAAAGCCTGCTCTCAGGAGAATATCTGCAGCTAAAATAAAAATGACTAGCAACAGAACATACTGCCCAGGGGTATTGTCACTGTTACAGGAATCAGAGGCTTAAGTTAGAAGGAAGCTACAGGATAAGTCACTTAGTGGAATACATGTGTCACCTTCTCAGGGAGCCAAGCCAAGTTTGTATTTTATCATGTCCATTTTCATAGCTTATAAGCGAAAGCTCACACAGTAAGAATCTCACTCATAAACCCTGAGGGTCTCCGTGGAAGTATAACCTGCCCCAGTCTGGGAGACAAAAAGCCAGCTGTGGCTGCAGGTTTGCTTTGGAAGAGAACTGAACGTCCTGATATTTCACTTTAAGTATATGACATAAGAAAATCTAAATGAAATGTATTTGACATTTAAATTGTTAAATGTTTCTTAACAGATAGGTTGCCAAAAAATGTGTTTTCTAATAATTCTACAAAATAGTCCTTTACTGTCTCTGGGAACCAGGAACATTATCTTTATTGCTCTCACCTTTTCCACAATCAAAGATTTTACAGGTATCAAATGACAAAGTGTCATCTTTCGAAGGAACTGAAATAAAATCCACATGGGATCTCCGAGTGCGTAAAGATGAGTGGGTAGAAGAGCACGGCCCTGACAGATATTGCTTCATGGACTCAGTGTGGGAACAGCCTTCACTGACTGTCCACTTGCTAAAACCAGAGTATACTAATAGTTAGGTCAAAGGTCCACCTATAACTTGAAAGTTCCCCATGAAGCATTTTAATGGACCAAGGAGTGATAAGAGCTGCAGAATGTGTTTCAAGATGATGATTTGAATTAAACATAGGAAATTTTCCAGCCCAGTTTAGAAAATATGTTGAATTATATATTTTACATAGAAAATAAAGGAGGTCATTTGAAAATAAAAATGATACTGTTCATCCTTTCTCAACAAAAGTCGTTATATCCCTCACCCTAAAGAAATCACTTTCTAAAAAAGTCCCATTTCATCAATGCTCTATTATGTATGCCAACAGATTTTAAGGGTAGAACTCTTTTCAAAGTAGTAAAAGGAGAATAATGCCCTTACATATCTGGATGGCTCCTCTAGGTTCTGGTCATTCATGTCAGTAGGAACAATCCGGGTGGCCAGTGGTCCCTCTGCGAATGGTTTTGGTAACTGGCCTCTGAACTCTGATGGAATGAACTGAAGCTGCCAACTGTCAGAAACACAAATAAGGAGAATAAGAAAAACACAGGGGGCTCACATTGCCAAATGTACTTGAAATACACAAGCAAAAAAAAAAAAAAATTTCATGTGAAAAACATTTCACTTGGAGACAAAATGTTTCTGCTAAAACCTCAACCAGAGAGAATAGAGACAGAGGTCACAATTCAGTCCAAAATCGTTGAGAAATTTTCAACTAGAGGTCTCTCAACCCATTTCACCAACTCTTAGCAGTGAAATCTGCAATAGTGATCATACCATCAAAAGAGAAACATCAACGTTATTGCCAATTACCTGTGATCAGAGGGACTTACCAAAACTAAAGCAAATTCATCAGGTGTGTAGAGAAAAGAGTGAAATGTAAGAACTCACTGTGGGAAAAGTACTTTGTTCCTGAGTAATCCTCAAAAGTATCTTTAGTTGTGAAACTATTTCAAATGTAAAAGGCAAATGCTAAAGTTAACGCGTAAAAACCAAGTTTTAATTAATCATTAATGACTGATACAGGATCTTTATCAATCAAAAGATACTACCACCAGCTAAGCTGCTGAAGCCAGTCCCCAAATGGAGCAACATGACTCATCTTAACCTGACTTCCCTTTTCCCTAAATAGGACTCTTCTCTGTCCAAATGAGGCAAATACAAGGGAACTCAGAGCCTACGCTATCACATCCAACAACAGACAGCATTGAGGAAAGTGGTACCGAGGTCTTAGCCACAGCTCTCCCAGTGTCCATACATTGGTAGAGAATGTTCACTGCTGTCGGACGACAAACATGTCTTCTCTAAAAACACTCTAGAAACCTAGAGTCTCTAAACCACTTTTAAAAGTGGATATCAGTTCATCATAAAAATTTAAATATGGATCCTCAGGAAGAGCCACTAGCAGAAGCCCTGAGCCCAAAATGTCTTCAGACGTCCCCAGACCTCTGTGGTTAAGGGCAGTGCAGGGTGCATTACCGGACACAGCACTCATTCTAACAAACACAGGCCATGGGTGCTCAGCACAGTTCCCACAGCTCTCTGAGATGGAAAATCATTCAAAAACTTGTGAAAAATCTAAAATGAAGGAAAAATTAAGAAGACATTGCCACAGTATTGCTATTTTTACACCTTGATTTAAAACTCTGAGAATTAAAGGGCAACTTACTTATCGGGCAGAAGGAAGCTGCTGGGAAATCGATACCACTCTTTTCCTACACAGACATTAACAGGTCGGCCTTCTGGGACAGTGTGGATGGTTGGGTCTGTGGCAATTCGGTGAAATTCTGGATACAAATCAAGGGGCCCATGATACCCTGGAAGGGAGAAAGGTTTGTGAAAGCCAAAGGTGAGGGAGATGAGATTCTGACATTTAATTATAATGCATGTTAATGTCCCACTGTGATCCATGTGAAAGGTACACCGCAACCCCAGCAGGAAGCCCACTCTACGGTGTAAAACACCTCTACAGTTAGGAAGATGATTAAAGCAGAGGCCCTATTTTTGCCAGAAATAATTTGCTTTCTTGCCCTTCTCTATACCCTTCCACCTTTTTAATTTCACGTTCTTTGAGCACAGTTCAATATTCTGGATCCAAATAATGATTATAAGAAAGAATATAATCATGGGACTTGAGCCCCAAATTTGCATCCTAAGTTTAAGGCTTCCTTAATTCATCCTTTAAAAGGAAAAAAAAAACTAGTAGGAATAGAGAAGACATTTATAGTTAATCACACTAAAAGGAATTCTCAATCTTCTCTTCAATCCTAAGGTACAGAATTCACATCCCAATCTTATTATTTTTTTGTTTTTTTTTTTTTGCGGTACACGGGCCTCTCACTGTTGTGGCCTCTCCCGTTGCGGAACACAGGCTCCGGATGCGCAGGCTCAGCAGCCATGGCTCAATTGGGGCCAAGCCCCCAATCTTAATATGAAGTCCATAGGTTCTCCCTGTAGAAAAGTCCTCCCCCTGCAGCTTAAGCTGAATTGTATTAAACAATCATGGGGGGCTTCCCTGGTGGCGCAGTGGTTGAGAGTCCGCCTGCCCATGCAGGGGATGCGGGTTCGTGCCCCAGTCCGGGAAGATCCCACATGCCACGGAGCGGCTGGGCCCGTGAACCATGGCCGCTGAGCCTGCGCGTCTGGAGCCTGTGCTCCGCAACGGGAGAGGCCACAACAGTGAGAGGCCCGCGTACTGCAAAAAAACAAAAAAAAAAAAGCAAAAAAACCCGAACCATCATGGGTCAAGCAAAACCAAGGAATAGTGCCTTGTGAGTACGGGTTAAGATATTCTCAGTACATCTACCTCTGAACAGTGCCACAGAGCGAGAAAAAGATAAGAGCCCAAACAGGAAGAGTGTTCCCAACGCCAGCCAATTCGATGTCACAGTATAGTGCTCCAGGCGGTATCGCTGAAACACGAAGTGGTAACATTTCTAGAAGGAAAGAAAACTTTATTGAAAAAAGAAGATACACCTTGCAAAATATACACAATCACAAGACACAACTGAGAGGAAGAAAGCAGAAAAAGAGGTTCTACCAAGGGTCTGAGCAGTAGCAAACAGTGAAGTACCCACTCCAAATTCTCACATTAAAGCAAATTCTGCTAAATTGTCTGTAGATCAGCCTAGCCAGAGGGCTTGCCAAGAATGAAATCTCACTAGCTTCATAGGAAAATCATTTGGATACTTCCCTAATGCTTAAAGTCCTAATAATTTATTTTTTTTAATATTTAAACAAAAATGCTTTTCCTAGGTATTTTTGATATATGAAGTATCTCAATCTATTCTGATATAACTAGTTATTAACCTTCACTTTCCTTACTAACAAGTTTTCATCTAAGTTTTTAGCAACTAACAAAATGTCTCATGACCAAACAAAAAGAAAAAAGAATTCCTCACATAGAATATTAGGAAAATTCTGTTAATTATCTGATAAACTACTTCACAAACTAGATGAATATCATTAACAATATATACACACCTGCATGAGTTCTGCAGCCTTTGAACACCTTCCCATGAGATTTCTGTCCTCCCTTCTTTCCCTCCTAGACTAGAAACTACTTTTGGAAAGCAATTTTGCAATACATAACAAGTGCCATAAATATGTTTGAACCCCTTTCATATTTTCTGGAATCTCTCCTAAGCAAACAATCCAAATACCTAAACAAAGATATTTACCCTAGCATTATTTATAATACTGAAATAAGTGAGCAATCTAAACTTTAACATAAATTATATCTAATCATTATATATAACCAATTCAGTATATTATATATTACATAATAATGTATATTATATCACCTTAGAATATTATATTGCTATTAAAATGATGGGTACAGATATGGCAATATAGAGAATGTTATAATTATATTAAGAGGGATGTAAAGTTACATGAACCTTAGATTACAATCATAATAGATTGTTATATGATCGGCAAAAATGCTAGAAGGAGATTTTGTTAGGGTAGTAGGACTGATTTAGAAAGTGGTAAAAGAAAAATTATCTGCAATAAAGTTCAGTTACTTTTATAATTAAAATTATTTTTTAAAACTATCATCCTAACATGGATGAGCTTTAAAAACATTATGCTAGGACTTCCCGGTGGCACAGTGGTTAAGAATCCACCTGCCAACGCAGGGGACACGGATTCGAGCCCTGGTCCAGGAAGATCCCACGTGCCGCAGAGCAACTAAGCCGGTGCAGCACAACTACTGAGCCTGCACTCTAGAGCTCGTCTGCCGCAACTACTGAGCCCACGTGCCACAACTACTGAAGCCCGCGCACCTAGAGGTGGTCCTCTGCAACAAGAGAAGCCACCGCAATGAGAAGCCCACGCACCGCAATGGAGAGTAGCCCCCCGCTCGCCACAGCTAGAGAAAGCCCATGCACAGCAACGAAGACCCAACACAGTCAAAAATAAATAAATAAAATAAATTTATTTTTAAAAATAAAAACATTATGCTAAATGAAAGAAGTCACAAAAGACCACATATTTTATGATTTCATTTATATGAAATGTCCAGAATAGGCAAATCTACAGAGATACAAAGTAGATTGATTGGCTGTTGCTTATGGCTGAGGAGATATGGGAGGGGGGTTATGACAGCTAAAGGGTACAGGGTTTTTGAGGTGATAAAAATGTTCTAAAATTGACTGCAGTGAGGCTTACATAGATCTGTGAATAGTCTAAAAAAGACTGTATCATACACTTTAAATGGGTAAATTCTATGGTTTGTGAATTATATCTTAACATAAATCTGTTAAGAAAAAAACTAGAAAAAAACTATCACCCTAATTATTCTTCTGCTAACTGCAAATGGTAGCAGAGGTTAAAAAAAAAAAAGAGTCTGGCGCTTCTGAAGCCATAATTACAGAGATATTCAAGATTAGTTCTGACAGGGAATTGACCTGGACAGGTTTTAAGCCAGGATTACAAAGTGTCCCACATTGCTAACTGCCTGATGTAATCCCAAACACTTGAGCCAGTTTCATTCAGGTCTTGTAGTGGAAGAGTACACATTCCATTAGCTCTGCTGTGGTTCCACCGTTCTGTGCTAGGCCCATTCAGTGACTTAAAAAAATTCCTTTCATAGCAATTGGATTCTTATTGGCAACAGAGACAAATTAACACACAAATTAACACTGCAAATATGTAATCAGCAAATAAGAGTCAATGCAACATTTAAGCAATCAATACATAAAGCTTTATAATATCTGTATCAGGTGTAATGTACAGATAAAATATCTTAGGTGGAAGCATTCCGTAATTTGCCTATAAGCTTTATGAGCGATTTAAAGTGAAACAGAATGAAGCAGATATACATTTCCCTGAAACTCACCTGAAGTGCAGAAAGGGCCACAGCACCACAGAGACATACAAGTGGATACACAGGGAAAAGAAATCTCTCCTCTTTGTGAGGCTGGATGAAGAAAATTATAAACCAAATATACATTGGAGCCAAGGTAAGCCAATATGGGTGGCCTAAATTCTGAACTGTAAGACAGAAAAATATCCACCTTTCACCATGTTAGAACAAAACAGCATGTTTAGTTTCAATGTTCCCTTGACCTCAAACTGGGATGTATACCCTAGGGCACCCAATAAAATGTTTCAATTCTTGTATTCACACTTTCTCTGATATAATAAAGGAGTAAAGTAGAAAGAGGTATATACTCCTTAGCCCTCCCAAGAGGTCCAACATTTCAGGGGAGGCACAATACTGGATTTAGCTAGAACAGGTGAATGGGTAATAGAGCTTAATAATTTCTACACTGGATGAAGAAAAAACAGATTTCTCTTTCTAATGAGCCCTGCCACTAAGATTAAAAGTTCCTGAGATCAACCAAAAGCATAACATAAATCCATTTCTTGGATTTTAATTCCTATGCTCTGTTTACTGCATTAATCTTACTTATACACCAAATGGCTATAGATCAAAGAAAAGGAAAAAAGTAGGATTCTCAAACCCATCACTGGTTTTCCTCAAGCTATAAATGACAGAGTTTGTTTCAAAGCAAATATAAAAACACTCTTAAAGGAAGTTTACTGATCAAGTTTTCTCTCCTGTTCTGCAGTACCCATCCACTCTGTATCGCAAAATTAAAGCCAAGATGTACTTAAAAGCATGTGAAAGAATTAAAGGAATTTAATGAAAACTAAGACCTAAGCACCTACTGGAAGGTTCCTGTGGTTAGGTACATGAACACTGAGTGATAAACCTGCAACCTACAGCGAAGGCATCCCCTGCTGTGCTTATACTAGTGACAACAAGCAGTGCGCAGGAATCACTGGCCAAGGGTAGATAGATAGCGCCCCCTGGTGTCCATTATGTCTACACTGAGCAAATTTAGATAAAAAGATCAGGGTTGTCATCAAAGCCCAACTTAGCAATGTTTAACTGTGCTCCGTAGTTATCCGTGCTTTTGCAGAAACTCTTTAGGAATAAAAATTCTTGAACTGCAATAACAAGCTTATCTTTTAAACTTTTCACTCTTAAGATTTTATCATGAGATTTTAGGTTATAATTTAGGACTTATACCTTTCCAGGAGGTATTTTAGGTTGGAATTTTCTTCATCATAAGAAAAAATCTGTCTTCTATAAGTAAACAATCTCTTCCTCTTCTGTATCTTAAAAGCTAACGAATACATTTTAAAAATATGGCCTAAAATTTTGAAATGTCCTCTATAAAATGTACAAAATTATAACCAGTTGTACTACATGATGAGATAATGGGTAATTTCTTTCCTGCCTCTTTATATTTTTCTACGTTTTTTCTTTTATTATTTTTATTTCTTAATGTTTCCTCTTTTGAAAAAGTATTGTTTCCATTATAAAATACAAAAAAAAAAAAAGAAGAAAAGTACTAAAAAAGTATTTTAAAAAGTATAAAGGAAAGCCCCTAGGTAACCTAAGGATGGGGACTAGTTACTAGGTGGACATGTGGATACATTACACACTTTTAAACCAAAATTGGATTCATACTTCAGAGAACAGCTTAATATACTATTTTTATTTTAGTTTTACTGTTTTTATACTTATATCACAAGCATTTCCAAATTTTCCACAAGCATAAATATTTTTATAGTCAGGGAAAAAGTTACTTTTCAAAAAAAAAAGAAAAAATGATCCTTAAGAAATACAAGGAATGGAGGAATACATTAATACCTCGAGGGGACAAACAGCTGAATCCAAATGTGGGACACTATGCAAGATGAATGACCTGGTTTCTTTAGAAATCTCCAGGAGGAAAAAGGTGAGAGGGGGAACCTCTGAAAAAGCTTATGAAACAACACCAAGTTCACTATATGACTCTTGTTTAGATCCTGCTTTAAACAAACAAACTATAAAGAACTATAAAAACTATAAAAAGCTATTTTTCAGACAATGTAGGAATCTAAATATTACCTGGGTATTAGATGATATTAAGAAATTACTGTTAATTTTGTTAGGATAATGGCATCACGGTTATGTTACAACGAAAGTCCTAAAACAAAACAAAAGTGACTCTGAAGGCTGCTTTCATATTCTATGAACACAGTGAAGTCTTTATAAACCATTAATAGTAGAAAAGCAGAATGGGGAATGGTACTGAGGGATCATATGGCATCCAAATCAGACTAAAAATTCTGAAGTTAAATCTCCTTCCAAAGCTCAGATGCATTTCTGCTCAGATCTGTCTTCCATAAAAGAAACTATGGGCACTACATATCCAGAGCCATGACAACCTGAGAAAACACTGGCTGTGCAATACAGAATCAGAACAAGCATCAAATTTGGGGGAACCTCTATATGGTTTAGTTTTCAAATTTTTGGTTGAATTTCCCAGAGAATGTTTGCCTCTAGCATTGATTATCTTAAGCAATCTTGCATGCCAACACACAGTTCTTTAAAAAACAGAAGACTCATATAGATAGGCTTATCTCCCAAGATTTTATAAATGTTTCTGCCTCCCCAGGTGGTTCTGTAAATCATACAGACTCCTCACTTGCAATTATTAACTTTCACACAGGTTAACAACATAAGTTAAATAATCTACGAACACAAATGGAAAATGCAATAAACCAACCATTTCCATAGGAAGAAAATGGAGAATAAAGTAAGTAGATTCTTTTTCACTTCTTGGTACCCATTGTTACTTCTCTTCCCTCCCACGCCCCACCAAGTCTATCATCCGTTATGCCACTCACCATGAAATCTCTGCAGTAGGTATTCCATAAGAGAAGTCAGTGGCAAGACCAGGAGAGCCAAAGCAAAGACTACATTGAAATTCAGAAATCCATTAATTAAATAGAAATACCAGGGCTCTGTACCTGAGGGAGATAACGAGATAGGAAATCATTAGTGGATGCCTCCAATACCTATTACAACGCTTGACTCATACTGTTTTTTGTTCAAGTAATGTTGATGATCCAGTGCCTCATGTGTATGAGAGTCCACAAGCCGCCCCCCTCTCAGAAATCAGGTTTCAAATATTTAGCTGTATTTTCTATCATGACCACTATATCTAGCCCAAATGGAACTAATACTTTTCAGAACCACCAAATAACATAAATAGCTTAGTGGTGACACTATGATTTATAATAAGAAGTATTTATTTGGCCTTCACTCCCATTCCTAGTAAAAAGTTCCTAAAATTACCCTTGTAATTTGCGAAGTGGTGAGAATAATAAAGGTGTCTTTTGTTCTGTTAATGAGGGAGCTTCAGGGAAGCCCCAGGTAACCTAAGGATGAGGACTAGTTGCTAGGGGAACCAATCGAGTGACTGGAGGGTTGGAACTTTCAGTCCTGTCCTCCCCTTCTCTGGGGAGGGGAGAGGGGCTGGCAACAGGGTTTCATCAACAATGGCCAATGATTCAAGCAATGGTACTTATGTAATGAGGCCTCCATAAAAACCCAAAAGGACAGTCAGTGTTCAGAAAGCTTCTGGGTTGGTGAACAGGCAGAGGAGCCCACGGGGCTGTGGCACACCCAGAGAGCACGGCAGTGCCACGTTATCTTCCCATACACCCTGCCCTACGCATCTCTTCCACCTGGCTTGTATCCTTTATAATAAACTGGTAAACACAAGTAAATGTTTCTCTGAGTTCTGGGAGCCACTATGGCAAATTGATTGAACCTGAGGTGGGGGTTGCAGGGACTACTAATCTACAGCTGGTCAGTCAGAAGCCCAGGTGACAACCTGGACTTTGAATTGGCACGTGAAGTAGGGGCACAGGGGTTGGGGGAGGGTGAGCGTGGTAGGTGGCAGTCTTGCAGGGCTGAGTTATTAGGGCCTTTCCCATTTCCTTCCTACCTGTTTCTCCTAGTTACATTCTAGCATCCTTCCCCTTGATACACTCAACCACTATTTGATAGTGTGTATACAGGTCCCCTGTGTTCCGTAAAAAGCAACAACTTGTTTTCCTTAGGAAAACCATGTTCAGAGACCCAGACCCTGCTCGGAAGTTTTGGGGATTCAGAATGAAACAAAATGACTGAAAACACAAGCCTTACTCACACAAGTTTTGATTCTTTAACTCAAAATCCTTAAACCCAAATGATGAGAAAAAGCCCCCCTCTGCACATTTAGCAGGTTTTTCATCTGCTCTTCCCCTCCATGTGATTACTTCAATCAGGCAGTGAATGACACATGCGGGTTTTAATCACTGTGTGTTGTGACACCCGCGTTGCACCACAGCAATTTACTGCAATCAGCATTGCTTAAAAGGGTAATCAGAAGGCAGAGAAATAGGGAGAAAAGCCTGACATTTTTGCAGCTTGCACAGCAAAATAAGATTAGAAACCAAACCCTTAATGCTAGAAACATCTAAGGGAGGAGGAAGAAGAAGAGGGGGACCCTAAGGAAGGACTCAAATTCAATCGTGGGTCACCTTTTGGGAAAGCTCTCTCCTTCCTGTCTAAATACAATGATAGGGACTGTTCAGGAACAGAGATTTTGTCCCAGGCCAAGCTCATTAGAGACATTTATATCTTGTATTCTCTACAAATAACCTTTTGGGTTATAGAAAACTAATGGATGGTTTTATTTTCAAAACAGAAATACACGTCTTCTCTGGATTTTAATTACTATTTAACAACACATTTCCTAAACTGAGTTCTTTAGACATCCAGTTTCCAGAGAAGTAAGTTTTTGCACAATCCTCTCCTGACTGCCAGTGTGGTGGCAATGCTATCAACCTTGACCCACCTTTTTCTTTACAAAATTCTGGAAATCTGACCCTGAGAAGAAAAACCTGAGTGACTAGAGGAAAGGAGATCACCTTCCACATCATCTACTACAGATGCTAAACATCAAAAGAAAAAAGCCTCTTTCTCTTTGATCTTTGCAAATATATGTTTTTTTCAGGAAAGCTCTTTAGTCTTTTTGCCTTTACCACAACTTACTATGCCCTCCTGTTAGGGGTATCTTTTTACCAAGGTACACTGTACTCTGAGATGTGGAACCAAAAGCATTAAGTTGGTAAACTCAATTATTTTTACGTGTTAGGAGCTCATAGATCAAGTTCACAGCTAGGCTGTGAACATTTCGTAAGACTGTTACTTCCCTGAAGGATGGGGTAAAAATCGGGGGATAAGTCAAGATTTGGGAAGGTTCAAGTTGACAACAGTCTTAAAAACAAGAGGAAAAGGGGACAAAAACAGTGAATTCTGTTAGCCAGTGTCCTCCCCTACTTGATGAGGCATCTGCCTTCAAAGAGTAAAAACTTTTATCTCTTTCCAGGGAGATATTCAGCGCTGCTCTCAGAAAATATCAAAGCTGAACTATGTAGAAAAAAATGTGTCAGAATGACAAGCTAAGCATTTAACTGGTGCAAAATGAAAGGTGAAAGGAAGCTGGAAGCAGGGTCTTTGCAGGGAGTGACTCACCTATCTCCCTCTTTGTGGAAAGTGCCTCAATTCCTTTCATTCAAAGGAGCTAAAGGGAGCTTTGCAAGAGGCTAAGAGGGGATAATGTTTATTGTTCCACAGATTGAATGGAATCTGGAATCTTTTATAGGCCTACAATTTTATAGAACTCTAGGAACTAAATTATAGTAAATCATCCTTAAAAATGTCAAATTTGCACCACCAAGAAGAAAAAGCCACCAAGGTTCAACAGAAACGATTAACAAAAGAGGGAAGGCTCTGGAACAGCTGTGCCTGGCAGGTGACCCTGAGCACTCCCCAAAGACTCCTCTGGGGCTTCATCCTCTGCCGCTGCAGGAATGGAAAACTGTGGGCCTTTTGATAGAGGACACCAGCCCCTACCTTCTGAAATCTCCTGTCCTGTGATCTGACAGATTTGATAAAACACACAAACAGGCAGGGATCACATCCTAGGCCACCAAGTGGCATCCTTGAGCAGACCCACTGTTATTTTTGAGGGGAGAGCATTTCTTACACCTGTCCTCCCACACCTTCTCCGGGCCTGTGTCCTGCTCATCAGACAGCAGCACTGCTCTTCACTCACACACAAAAATACTTAACCTCAACATCTGAGGACTTGAAATGTTACAAGGGAAAGAGGCAAAATCAGTGCCAAGCCCAGTCACTTCCCTTTTTGCAACACTAAATTTCACCTCTTGATCTCTGACCCTATAGAGATGTTTCCCCTACAACTTTGCAACTTTATGTCTACACTACTCTAAATTTCCTAAATGCCAAGTATTCTTTACCTCATCCAAGTAATAGTTGTGAAAACTATTTCTTTCCCCTGGCTTCAAAAGTCAAGAGTCAGCCCAGATCTGGAATGTGTCATTAATATATGTTATCTGGCCAAGAAAGTATAGAAAGGTCCCTTTGAAAACCAGAAACAACAGAGAGAATAAATATTTACAGATCGTCCTCGACTTATGATGGAGTTAAGTCCTGATAAACCCATCATAAACTGAAAATATTGTAAGTCAAAAATGCATTTAATACACCTAACCTACCGAACATCACAGCTTAGCCTAGCCTACCTCAAACATGTTCAGAACACTTACACTAGCCTACAGTTGGGCAAAATCACCTAACACCAAGCCTATTTAATAACACAATGTTGACTGTCTTATGTAATTTATGGACTACTGTACTGAAAGTGAAAACAGAATGGTTGCTGGTAAAGAATGGCTGTGAGAGTTTCCATTGTTCACCCTCATGATGGAGTGGCTGACTGGGAGGTATGGCTTGCTGCCACTGTCCAGCATCACGAGAGATATCATATCGCCTACCAGAAGAAGATCCAAGTTCAAAATTCGAAGTATGGTTTCTACTGAACGTGTATTGCTGTCGCACCATCATAAAGTCAAAAAAAAATTCTAAGTTGAACCATCATAAGTTGGGGACCATTATTACAATCACAATGGAGAGACTGAAATTACCTTGCTCATGCCTGTGTAGTTCCTACCTAAAATTCAGCTAATGCTGTAAAACTACTTTAAATTTTTAAAAAAGAACTCAATATTCAATCTTTTTGTCTCAGCAGTCCCTACACTTGAAATTCTATTTTTCTACAATGTACCCGCATGGTGCCTACCTGGCAAACTCCTTCTCTTCCTTCCAGGCTCAGCTCAAAGATCACTACCTCTAAGAAGTCTTTCCTGATACTACCAGATGAACTTGCTCCTTTGATTCCCTACCTTTCCACTGTAGCACGTAATAGATTGGACTGTAATTATCTATTCATGTGTCTGCAGCCTTATTAGACAGTAAATTCTATGAGGCCACATGATAAATGCTCAAAAGCAATTGATTCAATGTTTCTTTAGCTGAAGTCATTTATCCATTCATTCAAGAAGTATTTATAGGCTTATTATGTTCTTATATGTAAGAAACAACACTAGATGTATGCAAAAACTATCAGCACAACGCATTTTAAATTTTCAGATAAAAAACTATGTGCCTGGGGCTTCCCTGGTGGCGCAGTGGTTGAGAATCTGCCTGCTAATGCAGGGGACACGGGTTCGAGCCCTGGTCCGGGAGGATCCCACATGCCGCGGAGCAACTAGGCCCGTAAGCCACAACTACTGAGCCTGCACGTCTGGAGCCTGTGCTCCGCACCAAGAGAGGCCGCCATAGTGAGAGGCCCACGCACCACGATGAAGAGTGGCCCCCACTTGCCACAACTAGAGAAAGCCCTCGCACAGAAACGAAGACCCAACACAGCAAAAATAAATTAATTAATTAATAAACTCCTACCCCCAACATCTTCTTAAAAAAAAACAAACAAAAAAACTATGTGCCTACCATAGCTAACAAAGCACTTTAAGCAGGAGACTCTTAGAAAATAGTCAAAATAATGCCAAAAAGTGCCAAACAAGTGAAAGAGTTTCCATGACAAAAAACAGGCTGTCTGACAACTGTACAGCATATAAGTCTTTGATATTTACTGAATGGACTCAACAATTACAATAAAATTAGCTGACAATGGTAAAGTACTACTTTCACCTCTATTGTTCTTAATTTGTATCAAGATAATCCCAACCTAGCACACCACAACAGGTCTAGACAAAATAGTTCTAGGACATAATAGTGATCAGAGCACTTAAGTAATCTGATGGGTGCTCCAGAATTTGTTCATTCATTTGTTCATAAGAAATCTTTATTGAAGACCTAGAATACACAAAGACTACCTACTCCTGAAATGGAAGAAACATTCTCTGTAAGTCTGCTAAAGCAAAATGGAGTTAACATGGAAATCAGACACCCCTGAAAATTTGTCAAAGATGAGGGAAAAGCACAAAAATTCTACCATCAAGGAACAACCCCCTAAAGTCTGGCTGACTACAGCCCCGCAATCAGTCCTGTTGATACCCAGTACGACAATTCCCTCTGTCCCAACAAAGCTTTTTCTATCATTAGGAAAGTGATCAGCTCCTGCACATCCAAAATAGCAAAATCTGAACTGAAGCTAACCCAGGTTCACTAAAGCTGGCAGAACAGAGACCCAAGGACTCTTCCCCATAAAACACTGGCTGAAATGAACAGCAGATGCCAACATGCAGGGAAAGACTGGCCACTGCTCCGCTGGATCCCAAAACCTACCCACTGTTAAACTAGAAACATAAACTTAGGTCAGAATTTACTCTTTCTTTCCTATTCTCCCTACCAACCTGCTTATCTCTAGATGTAAAATCCTCATCAATCTAGAGGACTATAAAAATTATGAAACTTTCATATACTCTCACACAAAGTTTTATTTATAAATAAGCAGTCAGAATATCAATATGTAATAACCCATTTAAAAGGTGGAGAAGCCAACTTTTCAAAATTTAACTCAAATTAACACAATTTATTCACCTATATATAATGTATATTATGTTTCCAATAGGTTCCATGTAAATCAATTTCTAATATGCAATCTGGATGTAGGAAGACAGTCCCCCTTCTATTGTCCTGTAGAATCAACTGAAGTTTTACAAGTAAACTAAAACAATGGGCAATTAAAAACATGCAACTCTCCCTAGATAAAGGGAGACATCTAGAGGCAAAAGCTTAAAATTGGGGCTTTTTCTCATAGTCTCAGCGATCTTGGAGCCACATAAAAGAGCCTTTTAAAATTCCTTCACTTAGCAATTATTCTCTAACTATGCAGTTTGTGGATTCAATTCACTGAACAAAACACTGTTTATTTTTAACCTATTACCCGCCATCTAAAATGACAACATTCCCCAAATCCCAGGAGGCCCAATTAAATCTCATTTATCTGCTTACTTTAATTCTCCTCAGTCAATCTGTTGGTTCTATTGGCAAAGTGGCACAGAAAAATGATGGGCGTGGGTTAAATTGATAAGAGACACAGAAATAATATTAACCTGCTTCATAGCAGAGCCCAAGACAGTCACATATACAGAATGCTCTAAGACCTTCAAAAGATTAAGGCAGAAGAAACTATACTTATTTAATGAGAAACTGTCTCATAAAATGTTCACTGACTTGGCTGATCTCATTAGAAAGATCTCTAACTTATCCCTCTGTAGTGGTCACTAACTCAAATGCCCTCAGGGGACCAAAAACCCAAACAAACAAACAAACAAAAAAACCAAAACAAGCTCAAGGGCTGGCTGGGAAAAAAGAAAAAAGGGGAGGGATGGAGATGGATGGAAATTGGAGAACCAACCCCAGACTAAAGGCATTCCCTTTTTTCCCCTCTTAATCCTAAACTGGCCAAACTATCCACCCTCTCATGCTGACCTCACCCCCATTTGCTACACTTTGTCTACAGATTTTCTAAACTTTCTCCCCTAATGCATAATACTAAAGTAAAACAAATTAAAAAAAGAAAAAGTAACTCCAAATGTTATACCAAATGTATAGAAAATCTCTGGAGGAATATTTTCCAAGGTGTTAACAATAGCTATCTGGAGATGATAGGATTATGAATGTTTTAATTTTCTTATTTTTGTTATCATATTGATTTTCTAATGAGAAGAGAAAAAAGTAACTTAATTTTAAACAAGTAGCATCAAAACCCAAGGCATACCCAACAGAGTCCTCACTACTCTGAAACTGAGAATAAGAGGCAGCAGCACTAACAGAAAGCCAGATCTGAACATCACGTTAATCAAGGAAAAATATTTAGTGGCTATATATCATCACTGTGCTATGTTCAAATGTCATTTATTTTTAAATAAGAAAATATTACCTGCAAAGAAAGGCTATATTTGATAAAATGTGGCAGCTGAATTAAAATTTCAAAGCTGAGGCAAATTAAGCTATCCCCTAACTCTTCCCTAATTTCATAAGGCCTTACCATAAAGATCAGGTCCATGAGGAGTAAAGACATTATACAAAACAATGTTCAGTGGTGCAATCACCAACTTCCCGTAATAGTAGCTGTCAATGACCACCACAGGCACCTAAAAGAGAGCAGAAAATATATAGCAATTGTAGAGTTTTGCTCTGGAAACATTCTCACAATGCTAATAGGATAAACTTCAGAATGAAAAACAGAATCAATTCCTAATGTTCTCTTTTCCATCCATATCAGAAGTTGCTTTCATTACAACTTTAGAACAAAACAAGATAAAAAGAAAACTCACCAGAAAGATCATTAGGGCAACCAGCGACCAATGAAAGAAACTCTTCCATCTGTGCTTCATGACCAGCAAATCAAAGGCAATAGGTAAACTATTTAACAGAGATAGAAAGTGGGGAGTTAAATACTTAGAATAGAAACTGAAACAGGTCAGATTTACACACACCTCATGCTGAACTGAGAATAAAATGTCTGTAGCAATTACAGTGAGGGAAGAAAGCTGGTATATGAAAGGATGTCTTCTCAAAAATAAAAAATGTGATCTCTTCACAGGACTCATCAGAATGAGATGCATCCCACAATGCACAAGAAATATAAATATTCATATTCGGAATGAGCTCCATTTTACACGTATTTATGTGTAATGGACATTTAAAATATATTAATTGTAAGTAAATGTACCCTATTGCCCTACTCCCACCCTGCCAAATAAATAAATACTGACTTCCCCCTTCCACGATGTATTAAGATTTTAGTAATAAAATAATATTACAAACTTTCACTTCAATTCTGATATATCCCTTTCCAATATGTAATACTGCTCCAAAATGTAATATGTAATATTTGTTCTTCTTCCTTTCACTTAAATTCCTCAAGCAAGTATCAACAGCATATGTGTGTTGTCTTCACTATTTCTTCCTTAAGGCCTAACATCAAGGTATTAAGACTGATCTAAGGTACCAGGAATCTCCTGTCCGCCAAACCCAGTATGTTTCCACAAGCTTCATCTCCCTTTGTCTTTCTGTTGCACTTGACACAAAGCATCTGCTCCTTCCTCTTTAGACTCCCTGGCTCAGATGTTCTTTTCTGGGGGCTTCCCTAGTGCTCCTTTCTAGGCTTCTTTTTCCCTGCCTCACGGTGTGCCCTACCATGGTCCTAGCTCCCAAAAGCAAGGTTGTACTTTTCTCTATATATACTCATTTTCTCGGGTGCTTCAACTCCTCTTGCATGAACAATCACCTTCATATCCATGACTTCCTAATCTAGGACACTAGTCAGAGCCCTTACCTGTGCTCCACTCACAAAGAATTCCATCCCACACCAATCTATTTACTTACACAGAATCTACCCAATGTCAATTACAGGCTCTGCTCCTGCCTCTTCCATAAAGTCTTTACGTTTATATGGCACTATCATCTCTATCATCTCTTTGGCAATGTCATGTGAACATCTCTTCTAAGATTTGAAATTCCACATTCTATTACCTAAATATTGCATTAACATTCTGTGTTTCTATTTTTTTCTCCCCAACTAGTTACATTTCCATAGCACCTGCATTTCTCCTTTGATAAGTCAATAAATGATAGTACATTGCTAACTGACTGATTAACTGTGATCCTGAAATCATTTATCTAAAGGCAGACTAATCAAAATGCGCCAACTCAGAGGTATTTGGGGAACTCATGAAGTTCAATGTAAACCCAATAGAGAGTAAAAGGAATGGAGAAACTGACAAAAGGAGGATGGAAAAGTAAAAAGGAGGGAAGAACAAGGTTTTGTGAGTCACATTAAAGTTTGGACCCCACAGAGCAGGGGTTGGCAAACTTCTTATTTAAAGGATCCAATAGCAAACACTTTAGGCTTTGCAGGCCCCATATGGTCTCTGTTGCATATTCGTGTGTGTGTGTGTGTGTGTGTGTGTGTGTGTGTGTGTGTGTGTGTTGTTTTTTAACAGCCCTTTAAAAATGTAAAAATTTCTTAGTTCTTAGGCTATACAAAACAGGCCAGCTGGATGTGTGACCCACAGGCTACAGAATGCCAACCTCTGTGACACAGAGCAATGGGGAAGCTATTACAAAGACAAAACAGAGTGATAAAATCATATTTGCATTTTAGGAAGATAACTCTAGTTTGAGCGTGGAGAGCAGATTTATAAGGATCAAGACTAGAGATGGGAAGATCATTTATGAGCCTACATAAAAGGACAGAGGGAGGTGAAGAAAAGTAGATTCAAAAGATATTCAGGGGCTTCCCTGGTGGCGCAGTGGTTGAGGGTCCACATGCCGATGCAGGGGATGCGGGTTCGTGCCCCGGTCCGGGAGGATCCCACATGCCGTGGAGCGGCTGGGCCCGTGAGCCATGGCCGCTGGGCCTGCGCATCCGGAGCCTGCGCTCCGCAACGGGAGAGGCTGCAGCAGTGAGAGGCCCGCGTACCGCAAAAAAAAAAAAAAAAAAAAAAAAAAGACATTCAAGAAGTACAAGAAATTAATAAGACATGAGAAAGAGAAAACAGTCACAGATAATTTTCAGGTCCTGGCTCAGCACAGACGGTGGTACCATTTCTGGGCTAGAAACAAAGGTAAAGGACAGATTTGGAGGGAAGATAATGAGTTCAGTTCTGTAAATGTTTAGCTATATAAATGGAGATACCCAATAGGCAGCTAGGTATACACGAGTGAAGCTTAAGAGATGACCGGACTATATAAAGATATGGGACTCATCAAGATGATGGAGAGAGCAGAAAGTACAGAAGAGGCTCTTACACAAAATATTGAGAAATATAATTAATTTGAGAATGATGTGCAGAATAGAAGATTGGAGGTGGGGAAACCAGCCTTTAAAATCCACTTAAGAAAATTTTAAATGCCTATTCTGATTTAGTAACTCCCTTATAAAAATTTATCCCATAGATAAATTTCCACAAGTGTATAGACATATGTACAAAAATGTTCACTGAAGCATTGGGTATAACAGCAAAAAAACTGAAAACCAAATGCCTACCAATAAAACAATGGTTAAATAAATTATGGACAGCCATATAATAATGGAATGTTATGCAACTGATACAAAGGACGATATAAATCTATGTACAGAAGATATACATATGTATAGGATAATTCTGTTTGTTTTAATAATTTAAGTATGTATGTATAAATGTGTATGTGTGCATTTATTCATGTAAGGATAATTTCTGGAAAGATATGTACAAAACTATCAGCAGTGACTAACTGTGAAGACTGGGTTAGGGGAGAAAAGAACTAAGAATTCTTTTTACCTCATACAATCTGGTACTTTTTTAAAATAATAAAGATATACTACTATGATAATAACCTTAACACAAACTAACATATTTTTCTAAATAACTAGTGGTACAGGCAAGAAATTAAGGCAGCACAAACTAGAGAAGTTGTGAAAACAAAAAGTACAAAAGGAATGAGAGGTACTATGGAACTTGGAAAAAAAAAAGATGCTGCAGGCAGGAGAGAAGAAGGACTGAAAGGAAACTCAGATAACAAGCCTGGGTGACCGGGAAAATGCACAGCACAGGGTGGTACAGCGTGGAAAAAACATCAGCTGTTACAGTCAGAAGGCCTGGATCCAAAGCAAACATAACCTTAAAGGCAAATTACTCAAAACCTCTCGAAGTCCACTTTCTCATTTATATAAAGCACTAATAATTGGAGGCACAGTGGTTAAGAACCTGCCTGCCAATGCAGGGGACACGGGTTCGTTCCCCGGTCCAGGAAGATCTCATATGCCACGGAGCAACTAAGCCTGTGCACCACAACTACTGAGCCTGCACTCTAGAGCCCACGAGCCACAACTACTGAACCCACGCACCACAACTACTGAAGCCCATGCGCCCTAGAGCCCACACACCGCAACTACTGAGCCCATGCACCGCAACTCCTGAAGCTCGCATGCCCTAGAGCCCACGCACCACAACTACTGAGCCCGCGTGCTACAACTACTGCAGCCCACGCACCTAGAGCCCATGCTCTGCAACACGAAAGCCACTGCAATGAGAAGCTTGCGCACCACAACAAAGAGTAGCCCCTGCTTGCTGCAACTAGAGAAAGCCCATACGCAGCAATGGAGACCCACCAAAAAAAAAAAAAGCACTAATAATTGTATTTGTCTTGCAGAGTAGGTTTAGGAATAAAGTTCATAAAGGGTTTAGCTGTGCACAGGATACAGCAGATGCTTAACAGTAACTTGCTTATTAGAATTAATCGTAACAATAAGTACTAAGAGAAATATTCTTCCAATTCCCAGAATCTTTGAATAATTAATTTCTATAACTTTAGGTCCTACCCAAAGAATATGGAGGTAACCTAACATTAGGATTGACTATATACCCAGTGATACATGGAAGATGAATCAGGTTAGTTTCTTACCCAAGAGCTGCACTGAATGGCCAGCCTAAGATAGCCCCAGCTGCTACTCCAAGCACAGCAAAGGAAGTTTTGTCCATATACCAGCCAGTCATGGCTATCAATGTAGTGTACATACAGAAGCTGCTAGGAAGGAATGCTGCAAGACAAAAGAAATGAAAAAAAACGGGGGAAAGGGACAAGAGATTGAGATTTATGAGTTATCAGTTATTAAAAATATAGCTGCACTGCAATATGTCAATAACCAGGAACATACTTTGAGCAATGCTATATTAGAAATGAGGAGTAAAGTGATACTCGTTAAAAAAAAAAAAAAAAACAAAGTTCAATGATTTTATTTTCTCTCTCCTGTTTTTTATGTACCAACACATCACCCAATTATACAATGCCAACCATGCCATTTATCTCCTGGCCTGTACCCCAAGTCTAAAACTTACAGGATTCCAGGTTCCCCAGATGTACCTCCAGGTTACATTTCCAGACAGGAAGTATGCTTCAAGAAATTTAGAGCCATTGCTAACAATCTGTTTCTGAAGAAGTTTATCCTCTGATAGTCTTCTGAGACTGTCCTATTAGCAACCTGTACCCCGTAGGAATTCTCAGAAGCCTTCTCAAGGAACAAATATGTTCGATGGCAGCACTGCTTTGCATCCTTCATCCACTGACATAGATAGCTTGGCCTTTAGATGTCCCCCTAATTATTTCCGTCAAGGTAACTTTCTTGTTGCATACAGCAGAGGACTGACCACCTTCAGGGTCTCTGCAACAGTAACATTTCATCAAAACGTTTCTAACAACTCTACAAAAAATGCAGATCTGCCTCTCCCTGCTGTTTAAGTGCTTCACCTAGCACTAGAAAAATCAATACCAACTCCAACAGGGACCACAATGAACAGGCAGTGTGATTTGAGAAACTCAGCAAAGGGTTCAGAGGCTCATATCAAAGGATGCCTTTAACTTCTCTGTGCCTTAACATCCTCAGCTGAAATTATAAAACTAAAAATACTCTCAGGTATCTCCCTCACATAAGAATCAATTTTAGGAGTAGCAAAGTAACTAAAAAAACATGTGAAGGGCTTCCCTGGTGGTGCAGTGGTTGAGAGTCCGCCTGCCGATGCAGGGGACACGGGTTTGTGCCCTGGTCCGGGAAGATCCCACATGCCGCGGAGCGGCTGGGCCCGTGAGCCGTGGCCGCTGAGCCTGCGCATCCGGAGCCTGTGCTCCGCAACGGGAGAGGCCACAACAGTGAGAGGCCCGTGTACGGCAAAAAACAAAACAAAACAAAACAAAACAAAAAACATGTGAAGTACAACCTTCCCAGATAAATGCTAAATAATATGGATGCCATCCAAAGCTGTTGATTCTAGCTCCAAGGGGAGCAGAGGAATATGAGGTCTCTGCCAGCTCAGAGGGCAAAGCACAGTCTCATTTAGGACAGTGGATCTCCAAGTTATTCAGGCGTGAGGTCCTGAGATCTCTGCAGAACATGGATTTTGATACAGTCAGTGAAAAGCAAATATATACTTTTGCGCTAGATAGTATTTTTTGTGTATATTTAGTGTGTATACTAGATTCTGGTACACACAAGCAAAAATTAAAATTGAGATGATTAGTAACTTAATTTTTCTGGAAAACTGGAAACAGGCTACCTTTTGGCAACAGGCCACTTTGGCTCAGCTCATAGAACACAAATGTTCAATGGCAGCACGGTTTGAAAGCCACCACTCTACATTAACAATTTTATTCTAAATTTCCAGAAGCTTACTTTATTCTATAAAATATAGTACTTTATAGAATACTGTATTTTATAGTATACGTTTATACTTTTATAGAATACACTGCAAATAACTGGCATAAAATAGAACCATCAAGACCAGGGTTTTTAGACATAAAGTGCTTCCTTGAGCAAAATAACAAAATTATTGTCCTTCCCCTAAAAGCAAAGAAAGGCAGTGGATGCCTCTGTTTCTCAGCCCTGCTGTGATAAAAAATATAATAATGTAATAGAAAGCAACCTGATGAAAATAACAGCTCTACAACTTATGAGTTATTTGACTTTCAGTAAGTCGCTTCACCTTTCTAAGTTTCAGCGTCCTTACCTGCAAAAATGAGAAAATATTTATCTGACTTATAAATATTTATCTGACCTTACAACCACAGGATGGCTGTAAAGGTCAATCAAGATCAGGTAGATAACAGGACTGTAAATTACTGACATGTTACACAAATATAACCTACATCTGGACAAGTTCTTCTGCTTGATGCAACTGTGAAATATCAGTGAACCTTTTATGCCCTCACCTGCTCTTTTACTTACCTGATGATGAGCAAAACATGCCAGTGCTGAGAACCAAGAAGGCTAGCATCATTCGACTCACATGCAGCCCAAACTTCTTGCACACAGCCCTAGAGGAAAGGCAAAGACGATCAGCATAGCAAACCTTCGGGATGGAAATTTCAAATTAAAGGACAAAAACATGTCTGCATCACAGAGAACACTGAAGATCTAAAGTCAAATATAGAACTGTCTCAACAGGTCTGTTAGCAATTCCATGTGCATAAGAAACCCAAACATTCTTATTCCTTAAGCAGGAGAGAAGCTCTCTACCTAAGAGGAAATGTACACTTTCTGTGCTAGATTATTTCTAATATCAGTAGGAAAACAGCCTGATATAGTGGAAAAATAACAGGCCTCAGATGGGCACAGGTTAAAATCCTGGCCCTTCCACTCACTAGCAGTGGTACCCTCATCTAGTTACATAATCTGTCATATTGCTCATCTGTTAAGTGAAGATAATGATAATACTTACTGCATAAGGTTTCTGTGAGGGCAATGCATGGTAAAGTGCACAGAAGAGTGCCAGGCACAGAGTTGCTCAATAGATGGCAGTTATCAGAAAAAAAGACTAGGAGTTACACCAAAGGTTTTTTTTGTGTTTTGCGGTACGCGGGCCTCTCACTGCTGTGGCCTCTCCCGTTGCAGAGCACAGGCTCCGGACGCGCAGGCTCAGCGGCCATGGCTCACGGGCCTAGCCACTCCGCGGCATGTGGGATCTTCCCAGACCGGGGCACGAACCCATGTCCCCTGCATCGGCAGGCGGACTCTCAACCACTGCGCCACCAGGGAAGCCCCCAAAGTTTTAATAAATAGTTATCTAAGTCAATGTTTCTAAAGCAATTATATACCTCCTTTTACTTTTGTCTTACAGGCCTTTTCAACCCTATAAATAAAACATTATTAGAGGTGATCATTGCTTCATTTAGTCAGTATCTGTTCAGACTTAACTATGTGTTACCTATTTTCTTGCTCAGGTTCCTTATTGCATCTCAGACCTTCTTTCTGAAATAATTTTGTTTCTTCCTAAATATATCCTTTAGAAGGTTCTTTAGTGAGGATCTCTTAATGGTAAATTCTGGCTTTTGTTTGATCTTTCTTTATATTTTGTCTGAAAAGTCTTTATTTAACTCTTGGTCTTAAAAGGTGGTTTAGCTGAGTACATAATTTTAGGATGACAGTCATTTTCTCACAGAACTTTGAACATATTTTTTGTCTATCTGGCTTTTGAGAATGCTTTTGTTGGTCTAACTGCCTGACATTCCTTTGTAGGTTTTATATTAGTCCTCTGTCAACTTGTAAGATCTTCTTTGTCCTTTGTTTTACACAGTCTTACCAATTCCTTTTTATTTATCCAGCTCAGCATGTTAGGCTTCCTGAATCTGTGTATTAGCATATTTTCTCCTTTGATTCTGGAAAAATCTTATTAGCTATTACTTCCCTGAATCCTGCCTCTCCCTGTTCTCTCTCTCCTAGATCTGATTAGATATATATCAGATCTTTCAACTCGACTACATTTTTTTTTTTTTTTTTTTGCAGTACGCGGGCCTCTCACTGTCGTGGCCTCTCCTGTTGCGGAGCACAGGCTCCGGATGCGCAGGCTCAGCGGCCATGGCTCACGGGCCCAGCCGCTCCGCAGCAATGTGGGATCTTCCCTGACCAGGGCACGAACCCGTGTCCCCTGCATTGGCAGGTGGATTCTCAACCGCTGCGCCACCAGGGAAGCCCCCACACACATTTCTTAGCCTTTCATATTTCCTTTTTTCTGTCACTCTGTACTACATTCTTAGTAATTGCTTCAGATCAATCTTCTAGTTTACTTATTAGAAGTGTCTAATCAGTTATTTGATCTACTGAATTTTCAATATCAATTATTATGTTTTCATTTCTAGAAGTTCTGTTTGGTTCTTTTTCAAATCTGCCTGGTCATTTTTGTAGTCTCATTTGTTTTTTTTTGTTTTTAATCCTTTTAATTTTATTGTGGTAAGAACACTTAATATAAGATCTACCTTCTCTACAGATTTTTAAATGTAAAATACAGTATTGTTATCTATTGGCATAATGTTCAGCAGATCTCCACAGCTAATTCATGTCACGTAAGTGAAACTTTATACCCACTGATTAGCAACTTTCCATTTCCACCTGCCCCCAAACTGGGCAGCCACAATTCTATCCCTTTTTTCCATGAGTTCAACTATTTATTTTAGATAACTCATGAAAGTGGAATCATGCAATATTTGCTCTTCTGTGACCAGTTATTTCCCTTAGCACAATTTCCTCAAGGTTCATCCACTTCGTCACATTTGCAGAATTTCCTTCTTTTTTAAGACTGAATAATACTCCATTGTATACCACGTCCTCCACCCCATTCATCTCTCACTGGGTATTTAGGTTGTTTCCAATCTTGGCTATTGTGACTAATGCTGCAACGAATATTGGAGTGCAAATACTGCTTTGAGATCCTGATTTCAATTCTTTTATATAAATCCCCAGAAGTGGGTTTGCTGGATCATATAGTGTCTCTATTTTTTTAAATTTTCTGAGGAACCTCAAACTGTTTTCCACAGTGACAGTACCATTTTGCATTTCCACCAACAGCGTGCAAGGGTTCCAACTTCTCTACATCCTCACCAATACTTGTCTTTGTTTTTAGACAAGAGCCATTCTTTTTTCTTTTTTTTAACTGAAATATAGTTGATTTACAATGTTCTGTTAGTTTCTGGTGTAGAGCAAAGTGATTCAAAGTAGATATACATATATATATTCTTTTTCATATTCTTTTCTATTACAGTTTTTTACAGGATATTTAATATAGTACCCTGTGCTATACAGTAGGACCTTGTTTATTTTATATATATTAGTTTGTATCTGCTAATCCCAAACTCCTAATTTATCCCTCCCCCACCCCCTTTCCACTTTAGTAACCGTAACTTTGTTTTCTATGTAAGTCTGTTTTCTATGTGAGTCTGTTTTCTACGTGAGTTTCTGTTTTGTAAATACGTTCATTTGTATCATATTTTAGATTCCACATATAAGTGATATCATATAGTATTTGTCTTTCTCTTTCTGACCTACTTCACTTAGTATGATAATCTCTAGATCCATCCATGTTGCATATGGTATTATTTCATTCTGTTTTATGGCTGAATAGTATTGCATTTTGTGTGTGTGTATACATATATATATATATATATATGTATACACACCACATTTTCTTTATCCATTGATCTATCAATGGACATTTAGGTTGCTTCCATGTCTTGGCCATTGTAAATAGTGCTGCAATGAACACTGGGGTGCACGTATCTTTTCAAATTAGTTTCCTGTGGATATATGCCCAGGAGTGGGACCGCTGATCATATGACAATTCTATTTTCAGTTTTTTAAGGACCCTCCATACTGTTCTCCATAGTGGCTGCAGCAATTAACATTCCCACCAACAGTGTAGGAGGGTTTCCTTTTCTCCACACCCTCTCAGCATTTATTTTTTGTAGACTTTTTGATGATAGCCATTTTGACCAGTGTGAGGTGATACTTCATTGTAGTTCTGATTTGCATTTCTCTAATAATTAGCAATGTTGAGCATCTTTTCATGTGCTTACTGGCCATCTGTATGTCTTCTTTAGAGAAATGTCTGTTTAGGTCTTCTGCCCATTTTTTGATTGGGTTTTTTGTTTTTTTGTTATTGAGTTATAGGAGCTGTTTGTGTGTTTTGGAAATTAAGCCCTTGCTGGTCACATCATTTGCAAATATTTTCCCCCAGTGTGTAGTTTGTCTTTTTGTTTTGTTTATGGTTTCCTCTGCTGTGCAAAAGCTTGTAAGTTTGATTAGGTCCCATTTGTTTATCTTTGCTTTTATTTCTCTTGCCTTGGGAGACTGACCTAAGAAAACATTAGTACAATTTATGTCAGAGAATGTTTTGCCTATGTTCTCTTCTAGGAGTTTTATGGTGTCATGTCTTATATTTAAGTCTTTAAGCCATTCTGGGTTTATTTTTGTGTATGGTGTGAGGGAGGGTTCTAAATTTATTGATTTACATGCGGCTGTCCAGGTTTCCCAACACTACTTGCTGAAGAGACTGTCTTTTCTCCATTGTATATTCTTGCCTCCTTAGGCAAGAGCCATTCTAACAAATATGAAGTGATCTCACTGTGGTTTTGATTTGCATTTCCCTGATGATTAGTGATACTGTCATCTTTTCATATATGTTGGCCAGATTACTAGGTTTCTTACTATTGAGTTACAGGAGTTCCTTATACATTTTGGAAATGAATCTCTTATCAGATATATGGTTTGCAAATATTTTCTCCCATTCTGCAAGTTCTTTTTCACTCCATTAATTGTTTAGTCTCTTGTTTCTTCTTTATGTTTTCAATTCCTTCTTTTATTTCTTTAAAAATATTAAATGTAATTATTTTATATTCTTATTTTAGTAATTCCTAATAAATGAAGTTTTGCAGGTCAGCTTTCTATTGATCTGTTATCTCTGCTGGCTCTCACTCATAATGTTTTGTTCCCTTCTGTGATTTGTCATTTATTTTTACTATAAATTCTTGTTCACTAGAATTTTATCTATGGTAATGCTTTGACACCTGGATTAAGGATCCACTTCTCTAGAGAAATTTTACATTTGTTTTTGCAAGATGCCTGGGAACACTAACAACCCAGAACAATTTAAAGTAAACTCTCAACTTGGGGTTTAGGGGGCCATGTGGGTGATTTGAATTCAGTCCTGAATTCATATAAAGACCAACTTAAGATTACAATCCTCAAAGGCAGCACTGGATTTCTTTTTTTTTTTTTTTTTTTTTTTTTTCTTACCGCGGCCTCTCACTGTTGTGGCCTCTCCCATTGCGGAGCACAGGCTCCGGATGCGCAGGCTCAGCGGCCATGGCTCACGGGCCCAGCCACTCCACGGCATGTGGGATCTTCCTGGGCCGGGGCATGAACCCGTGTCCCCTGCATTGGCAGGCGGACTCTCAACCACTGCGCCACCAGGGAAGCCCTGGATTTCTTTTTTTTTCCTCTATTCTACCCAGAGTCAAGGCCAAAGAACTTTTTTATCTTATATTTTTGGCTGTTTTGCAGTGGGAAGACTTTAAATAATGATTACTAAGTCCAGATACCTTTTAAAGCATTATTAAAATAAGATGTTTCTTAGGTTTCATGTTAAAAAAGGTAGCTATTTTTATTACTGGAACACTTAACTGCTTAATACTTTCACTAATATTCATTCAACCAATAGGTACTTGGTGAAAGACAATGTACTGGGTGCAAATAAGAGCAGTGAGTTCCACACTGGGAATAATTTCCTATCAGCTCAGCTCAAAGGGAGAAGAAAGAAATCATGATCCTATCTCTCAGGACCAAAAAAGAAAAAAAAAAAAAAAAGGGCCCTACTAAATCCTACCAAATAAAATACCAGTTAGATATTTATTAACAGAATTAAAGTTAATAATATGGAGATATGCCATTTATCACCTCAGGAAAGAAAGTGATAATTAGAAGCATTCCCTTCCAATGGTTCGTTTCAAACAAGAAATTGCACTTTAGATATAATATTAGAAGCTAGAAGGAAAATGTTTTCTGTTTCTAAACACTGCTTCTACTATCACAGTAATAATCTATGCTATATTGGGCTTCCTCATAGCACTTTTAGAAGCAAAGCTTTTATACTCACTTGTAAAAGTAAAGTTCACATATACAGCTCACAAAAGCCAGCAAACATCGTAAAAAGTAAAAGACAAGAATCTGAAAGAAACCCAGAACAAGAAAACAGAAGTTAAAGATAAGTTAGAAAAACTCTTAAAGATGAAACCACTCTCATTTGTCACTAATAACTATAAATTGGTATAATCCTTTTGAAAAGCAATATGTATCAAGAACCATGCAAATTTTCATGTCCCTAAATTCAAGTATAGAAGTATATCTACTTCTCTGATTCCGGCCCACAGAAGTAACTCAAAATATGGGAGGGGAGGAGTTCTATTCATAAAAATGTTAATTGCAGCTCTACTAACTTAGTAAAAACTATTTTAAAAACTATAAAATGTTCAATTACAGGGAAATGGTTAAATTATATCTATTCATGTATTATTATACACATATCAAAGTTTATGGTTACAAAGACAGTGGAAAAATTCTTATGATATAAAACTCATTTATTCAACAAGCATTTCTTAGACAATTATAACTGATTATAATTATTATCAAATTATATTACAAAATACTAAATGAAAATATATGATATAACATTATTTATACATCAGAGTTACAGCTATGGAAATCAGAAGTACTGTATATGAAAAAACTGGAAAGAAATATAGTAAAATGGTAAAAGTGGCTATATCAGGCTAGTGAGACTTAGGTACATATTTTTCCTCCTATTTTTCAAATGTCTGTAATGTGGTTTTTATTAATTGTAGGAATTGACATGAATTTTACAAATAAAAATAACAAAATAGTAAGAATTGTACCGAATAGCTTTTATACTACAGTATACTGGTATGTTTAAAAGCAATGAATACCTCTGAAAATAAGCACTATTTAAATATATTCTATGATTAATATTACTACATATAACTTAAAAGTTCTTTCAGTTTTCATCATTATGTTCAATCAAGTGATCAGCAAATGCCCAAGTTCATTCATTAATTCAATAAAACCATACTGAAAACCTACTATACATTGAGCACTCTCTAGATGCTACTAGGAATACAGATAATTTCAGTACAAGGTATCCACACTTAAGGACTCTTCATCTGGTTGAGGAGAGTACAAAAACACACTTAGAAAGTTAAAAATTAACAGAAGTTAATATAAGAACTGTATTTGGGAATAGGACAGTGATGCTCCCATAGCAACTAATATTCAACATAGTAACTGGATGTCGGGTTAGTGCAAAAAGACACAAAAAAGAAATGAGATATGAGGAATGGAACAGAAGAAACTAAACTCTACATGCACAGATGAAAGAGAATCCAGAGATTCACCTGACAAACCACTGACACTAATAAGGAAATTCAGTGAGATTTTGATCAAGATCAAAAAGCAAAAATCAACTGTGTTCCTCACAATTGTGTTCCTCACCTGCAATGACCTCCTACAAAAATTACAGAAAACAAGATACCGTTCATAACAGTAACAAAAAGTATAAAGAATCTAGTCATTATCCTAGTCAAAGAATGGATAAGCCTAAAATGGATACATTGTTTACATTTTATTAAAAGACACAGAAAACCTAACTAAGTGGATAAATACATCATTTTAGGGATGGAATGACTCAACACTCTAAATAAATATTGATTCTCATATTAATACATAAATTCAATGCAACTCCAATCAATACCTACCAGAATTTGGGAGAGGGGAAAATTGATTCTAAAATGATTTTTAAAATACAATTTTAAGGACTTCCCTGGCAGTCCAGCAATTAAAAGACTCTGTGTTCCCAATGCAGGGTAACTGGGTTCAATCCCTGGTCAGGGAACTAGGTCCCACATGCTGCAACTAAGAGTTCGCATGCCGCAACTAAAGATCCCGTGGGCAGCAACTAAGACCCAGTGCAGCCAAATAAATAAATAAATACATAAATATTTAAAAAATTAAAAATAAAACACAATTTTTAAAATGGATAGAGAAATTCATCAGCCAAATATTAACACATACTACAAAGCCATAATAATAGAAGCAATATGGTACTCTCTGACAAACTGACCAATGATACAGAATTAAAAAGGCCAGAAACATACATGGGAATGAGATGTATGATACAGATGGTATTACAAACCAGAAGGAAAAGGATGAATTATTTAGCAGATGGTGCTGGAAAATCCAGTTCGCCATATAGGAAAAAATAAAGCTGGATCTTTCCACAATTTATAAAAGATAAAATTCAAATGGACTAAAGCCTTGTATGTGAAAGATAAAATAATAAAGTTACTAGGGAAAAATACATAAGAATATCTTTGTGACCTGTGGTGACGGATTTCTTTCAGAAAGACCCAAAACCCACCAACCGTAAGTGAAAAACTAATTGGTTTGACTCTATCAAAATTAAAGATTTCTGTTCAACAAAGGACCACAGACAAAGTTAGTAGACAGGTGACAGCCTAAGAGAAAAGATTTCCAGTATCTAAAACTTACAAGGGGTTACTGTTGAGAACTTCTGCAAATCACAAGAGAAAACCACAAAACCCAACTGAAAAACAGACAAAGGATGTAAATAGGTAATTCACAGAAAAGGAAATATGAATGACCAATAAATACATGAAGAAATTCTCCACCTTACTAGTTGTCAGAGAAATGTAATTAAAATGAGAAGCATCTCATATACATGAGAAGGGCAAAAATTAGAAAGACAGAAATATCAAGTGCTCAGATATTAGGAAGCTGAAACCCCAAACATCGTTGTAGGGAGTATAAAGTTGAATAGCCATTCTGGAGAGCAATCTGGCAGTGCTCCATGAAATTAAGTAGCCCATGGATCTATGTACAGGATGCCACTCCTGAGTGTATAATTCAGAGAATTTCACACCTCAATCCATAGAGAGAACAAAGCTGTTCTTGTTTAGGGTAGCAAGTTGTAAAGGTAACCATCACTAGGGGTGCCAATTATTACCATATTGTCTCTCAGCAACAATCCACCCTTTTCTACTCTAATTATGATGATGGGGCTGGGACCCTATAAGCTACAACTCCCCCTTGCCCTGTGGCTCACACTGGCAGAACCTAAAAAGGAGGAAACTGGAAGAAAGAACAAGAGAACAGATATCTTCATTCCTGTTTTGCTTGCTGTTTGTATCACTGATGTAAGAGGTAGGACTCTGGGTTGAATATGCCAAATTTGAAGTGACAGTGGATATCCAAATGGAGATGAAAACCTTAAGCACTGCATATTGTTATTTCTCTACTAACTCCCTCATCCTATATATCTTTCCTCTGAGACCACTTGGAGAGCCTGGACTTCCACTCCCCCAAACCTAGCAGTAATGAGGTACCTCTACCCTGACCACTAGGGTGGTATCAGTGGAGGCCTAGTTGGGAACCGGGACTTCTAGCCCCAATTGGCAGTCACAAGGTGGTGAACCCTCTCCTTTTTCCAGCTGCAGTGGTATCAAAAGAAGCCAGCTAAAAGAGAAGCAGAATAGTGCAGAGGAAGCAGGCTGGGCCCATGAATAAGATCCAGAGTCTCATACTATAATACCCAAAATGTCCAAGTTTCAACTAAAAATTACTTGTCAACCAGGAAGATCTCAAACTGAAGGAAAAAAGTCAATTAATAGATACCAAAACTGAGATGAGATATAAGAATTATCTGACAAAGTTTTAAAGGAGCCATTGTAAAAATGCTTCAATAAGCAATTAAGAACACGCTAGAAACAAATGAAAAAATAGCAAGTCTCAGTAAAGAAATAGAAGAGAAAAAGAAAAACCAAAAGGAAATTTTAGAACTGAAAAAATACAGTAACCAAAATAAAAGCTCAATGGGTAGGCTCAACAGCAGAATGAAGGAGACAGAGGAAAGCATCAATGAACTGGAAAAAAGACGACAGAAACTGTTCAATCTGAACACAGAGGAAACAGACTGGAAAAAAGTGAAGAGAGGGCTTCCCTGGTGGCGCAGTGGTTGAGAGTCCGGCTGCCGATGCAGGGGACACGGGTTCATGCCCTGGTCCGGGAAGATCCCACATGCCGCGGAGCAGCTGGGCCCGTGAGCCATGGCCGCTGAGCCTGTGCGTCCGGAGCCTGTGCTCCGCAACGGGAGAGGCCACAACAGTGAGAGGCCCGCGTACCGCACAGA